CCCCCCTCCCCTCGCACAACCCCATCCGCTCTTGCTGTTTTCTACAGTTATTGGGGCGATTTATTGCTAATCTGTTTGCGCAAATTCCCCCATGCGCCTTTGATCTTGGCTTAAAACACATTGCCGAGAACCCGTGCGATAGATCACAAAGTCAGCGCGGAGTTCATCGCCCATCTTGCATGTCACTCTCACACCACTCAAAGACACATGAAAGATGTTCCAGTTCATCCCACCTTTGTGACGCTGCCAGATGATCGCAAACATTTTTTTTTTTTTTAACAGTTATGAACGTGCAAAATGACACTAGGTGAAGAGTCACATCTTGCTGCTTCACTACCAAGCCAGAGAACTCCGGTTCCTCGAGAGCCCGTTTTAGGTCCCCCTCCCTACTCCAACACACCCGATTTAGTTGCTGATGATCACTTCAGGCCTCGACGGAGCTTGCTGATGAGCTGACCATTTGAATCGGGTGTGTTGAACCCGAGGAGATCGAAAACAGGCGGGATATGGCTCACGAGGTACCGGAGTTCCCTCGCCCTGCACTAAGCCGAAGGAGCATTACGACCACAAACCGACAACGGTCAACGGTAACGAGGCAAACAAAACAACCTGGCGTGATGAGCTCCGCCCAAAGACAAGGGCGATCGCATCCCATGGCGTTTTTTTTTTTCCACTTACGCAATTAACCTGGAGCCACCTCGCGATCATAAACAAACAACTGTTTACAGGCCGAAGATGTAGAAAATGATCTCCGTGGGCGAGCCACATGCTGCTTCACCCAACGACAAGGTCTCCTGACGACTCTTTTTACCACGGTTTGGCTGAAATGGAAGGTAAAGACGCAAGATAGCCGAGCTCGCGTAGAACGTGCGTACGCTCGGCTATCCGTGGAGTGCCGGTGGGGCGGGGTGAACAGACTGCTGGGATTGTGATGTGGAGAACACAGAATGGGGCGAGTGACAAACACAGTTGACACCTGGCACCACACCAAAAGTAGTCCAGTTCAGTACTCGAACGCCACGATTGTTTGGCAGAGAATCACCACTTCCGGTGAATAAAAACCTGCACACAGTTCAGTACTCGAACGCCACGAGTTGATTGTTTGACAGAGAATCACCACTTCCGGTGAATAAAAACCTGCATTAGAATTTTACTGAACTGTACTGCTGTGGTGGAGGGTGGGGAGTGGGCATGGGGGATGGGGGCTTTGGGCGACATAGCGGACTAACTTGGTGTGTTGGGGCTGCGGTGAGTGCTGGGACCTGTGGAAGAAACGAGAGTCACGGAGGAAAGAAGTCATCAAGGAAAAAGAGTGGCACTCGCCGGTTTTGGAACATTGTGGACCGGCCACACGTTTACTCTGGAAACAAACACAGTGCGGCTCGGCCTCTGGCTGGTGGATATCAAGGCTGGCGGGCGGTGCCATTTTGACAAACAGCCTCACACGAAAAACTCAAACTTCCAGAAACAGCTTCGAGCGGGTTTCACCCCCCCCCCCAAAAAAAAGCCCCGAATAAATAAAAAAATGTTTGCCACTATTTATGTGAGCAATAACAGGTCTGACTTGAAGTGGAAAATTTTAGAGAAGGGAAATCAACTTTGCATTGAGAGAATGTGGGTGCACAAGTTGACTGAGCCTTTTAGAAGTACACTTGCGTCGGAGTCGGCTATTCTTGACATTTCTGCAGGCGCATCTGAGAGCACGTGCCAAGGTCCGCGGGGAGCCTCCCCGGCATCAGAGGGATCTCATCGCTCAAAGGGATTTGTCAGGCGAAGGCAACACAAGAATTTCCAAATGCAAAGACAAAATACAAACGCGATTGCTTAACGCTGAACATACCCCCAGCCCCAGTTATAAGAGGGTGTGCACACTTGTGCAACCAGATTATATCAATGTCTTTTGACTTACTTTCTCAAAAATACATTTTTTTCCAACTGAGCTGTAAATTGTGATTATTTGGATATCACAAAAAGCCGATCGTTGAGGACGGCGGTGTTCATTTTTGATAGCCACTGTAGGTTCAACGAATCGACTTGTTGCTGGCTACACTTAACAACAATTACAATCAAGGCAGGAATGTTCCCCCGCCGCCGTGCGACAATCACGTCAAAAAGAGAGAGAGAGAGAGAAATGGCGGCTTAAGTCTTGCACGGCTTGGTGAATATTTGATAATAAATGCCTCTTGTCGAGACGACCCGGGAAAAGACGGAGATCAATGTCGACGTTCCGGCAAAGCAAGGGGGCGGCAGAGAGCGCGAGGTGGGAAGAAAAAAAAAAAAGCGAGATTATCAAACAGGAGGGAAAATGGAAGACAAAAGGGAAAGAGAGGTGGAGTGGGAGGAGGGGAGAACAGGGATTCTTTACAGCGCCAGCCCTGCTTAATTCCTCTGCAGGGATTCAAAGAGGCTGAGTGTGCGTGTGCGTGTGTGTGTGTCAATATGGTCTCTAATAACACGAGAGAACGAAAGAAGGAATGTACACACGCGTGCGTGTGTGTGTGCGTGTGTGTGTGTGTGTGTGTGTGTGTGTGTGTGTGTGTGTGTGTGTGTGTGTGTGCGTGTGAGTTCCTGGGTTGACATTTTCTCTCAGCTCCATTGTTCCCTCCACCTAGCTCACCTTGACATCAGAGGCGGCAGCGACTCATTACCAGTTGGGGGGGGGGGGGGAGAGGGGGAAGCAGCTGAGGGCGAGAGGCATGGAGTGGGGGAGGAGAAAGATAGAAGAAGGCTGAGGTCCGACACCTCCACTAAAACCTCCCCGCTCGGCTACTGTGCGTCAACAGTGTGACAGAGCTGGAAGGGCTTGCTTTAAAATCTCCGTTTTGCTTCTGCGAAAGGCTACAAAGGGGGGAAAAAAAAAAGAGGCTTGCAAATGAAAACATTTCGAAAGCGAAGACTCAGTCATGGTGACGGGATTGTGTCTGTTTCCGAGAGGACTGACTGAAAGAAGGCTTCTCTGTCTTGAAGCCTTTGCTGCAAAGCCGCGATTTTTTTTTTAGAGATTGTTGATGCGGACGCGCAAGTTGATGTGCACTGAACTGGCTCGAGACCGCCATCCGACCCTTTGGTGCGCGACAGGCTGCGCAAAGGGTGACAGAGCTGAAAATGATCTGTTTATGTCTTCGTTACGTTTGTCAGGAAAAGGCTACAATTGGGGGGGAGAGACTGGCTTGCAGTTGCAATGCATTGCTAAAGCGACGAGTCAGCAACCGTGACGGGTTTTTGTCAGTTTCAAAAAGTGTCTGAAGCCTTCGTCACAATGTCAGGGTTTTTTTAAAAAAATTTTTTTAAGTTTGGTTTAAATCTCGTTGCCCACCGCCCCCCCGGAGTGGACCGGTTGGGCCTTCCGACCTCTGTACGCGACCGCCTGCCCAAATAGTGACAGAGCTTGAAACGGTCGGTTTCAATCTGAGCTGTGCTTCTCCAAAAGGCTTACAAATGAAATGCTACGAGTCAGCAACGGTGATTGGATCGTGAAGATTGACTGAAAGAAGAGCTCCCCCAGATGTACCAAGACCTGTTTTTTTTGTTGTTGTTGTTGTTTTTTTAAACTCTTGTTTTAATGGAACTGCAGTTGGTGGCAAAGAGATATGAAAGCCATGCATGCTCCAGCATTTGACTCAAATTTCCTCCTGTGCTAGCGTAGGGCTATGATTAACGACGGCAAATTCTAGTTTAGCAAATTTCGGGATTCGTTGCTTTTAGAGGAACAGAACTTTGTCTTAAACTGACGACTCCCGCGAGCCGCCTCCGAGCGCCAACAATCTTCACGATAGCATTGGCGGCTAACAGTACAAAGCGACGCGTTACTGATCCGCTTCTTCCAAGGTCACGCAACTCACACGGTTCATTTTGCATATTAGCTGTAAGCCCCTGGATGAGTGTGTCATCCCATCATGTTTTTTTTTTTTGACTGATGCAGTGATGTAAATATCTTAAAAAAAAAAAATCTGGACGCGTCATCTAATTGCAAGGATCAACTGACTAATTAATCAAAAACAATTAGTTGACACATTCACACCCGCAGGTTGGCGCCAACGCAACCATATGTCGACGACATGCGTAAGATGTGAAAGTGGGGTGGGGGGGGGGGGAGCAGATGTTGTTTCCTACCTGGCGTCTGGTAGTTGAGTCGTCTCATCTCCACGGGGTCGGAGGAGTTGCCCAGCAGGGAGTCTTTCACTCCACCCGACTGCTCGTCCTTGGGCAGGGGTGACGCCCGCTTCCTAGAGAGACAAACAAACAAACAAACATTAAAGGGGCACCCAACTGCGAGGCAGTCATTTGTCCACTTAAGTGGAAATGACGGCATGATGAGAGTGACATTGATTCTTTTTTTCGATGCAACGAGAAAGAGAAAATTGGCTCTGGCAACTTCCTCAGGGGTCCCCTTCTTGACAATATCTGGATGGGTAAAGGACAAGCAGAAGGCTCCGCAAAGCAAAGTATGAATAATTATGACTATTATCATGACTATCGGCATCATCATCATCTATTCTTGAAGAAATTGGCCAAGAGAGCTTCTCGAAAAGATTCATTCGTGACTGAACTTTTTTGGGGAATCACTGTTTGTTTCGGCCTCCTGGAGAGATCAGGGCTTGATTAAACGTCCCGGAATAATTGGTTTGAGCTGAATTTACGGTTTGCCTGAACCTCACCGAGGGATCAGTTCTTTCCCAAACTTGCAGAATGTTTCGGTTGCTGAGAAAAAAAATCTGATGGAATACCGTTTTTGACCGGGAATTTCCGGGATTGATCACAGTTCAGGTGAACTACCTGGAACAAACTGCTCTCGGCAGAAGCTTCTTGGAAGGACCCATTTTGTGACTGAGCTTCCGGGTTGGATCGTCTTCATTAAATCTCGCAGACGGTTGAGGTCTTGACTACATTTTCAAGATGTTTTGGTTTTTGACAGAATTGTGGCGTAATCTTTTCTGGACTGGACTTTCTGGATTTCTTAGCAAAAGCTTTTTGAATGATTCAATTCTGAGTGAACGCCCTTGTTGGATCAGCGTTTCATTGGACTTGATTGGCTACAACGTTCTTGTCTGGAACTTGCTTGAATTATGGTTTTTGGATGATCTTCTGGGTATAGGTTACGGTTTGGCTGAACGACCTGCTATGTTCGTGTTCATAATCGAACATCTTGGCTGGATCATGAGAAATCCGCAGTCCCTCGAAGGCCAACTGTGGTTCGCCGAAGTTATTTTTAATTTTCGGACGACTTGTAACAACAGAGAGAATTAAGTCCTGGGGCTCTCGCGCGAATCAAAGAGCGCGTAAGGATTAAAACTAAAACCGTACGTCCGCACAAAAGTCCCAAAGTAGCGTACGAAAAAAATATCCGACCTATCAAGCCGTGTGTACGTACATACACGCGCCTGTCGGACATTTTCCCTTGATAAATTACCGAATTGGGGAACCCGCACGTACCGCCTTCGACATGGCCAAATATAAATAATCCATGAGTGGTCAAGGCGATAGCAGCAAAATGCTGGCCAACGCTTTGTCAAAGGTGAATCATGGCGACAATGCTTATCAGCGCGGTGGAGGCAAGGAAGTGGATATTGTTTGGTGGCCTGATTGGCACCGGACAAAAACAAAAAAAGAACAAAAACGACAGGGAGGACAGAAGGAGGAAAAGGAAGTCGGTGATCCCCCTTACCTCCAAAGCCTGCGCGCGGGCACACACACACACACACAGAATACACAGCGTTGATAAGGGAGACCTCAGCCCATTAGCCTCGTGAGTCATGCAATTAAGGCGATAGAAAGACCATCATTTTCCTGGAGTGGTCCAGACTCGCTTTGGATATATGACAGCTGCTGTGTGGGAACGCGCACACGTGCATATGTGTGATTTTCGCAGTTGTGTGTATGCGTGCGTGCCAACAACACGTTGTGTTTACAGTCTTTCCAGAGCGAGAGGGAAACAGGCGGTTGCCGTAATTAGCTCATCAGCCGGGTGGCACGATAGCGGATAATTGAGACCGCTTTTGCAGCACCTGCGTTGCCTGGCGGTTCTTCGCGTAGGCTCGGCCCCGCTCGGCTCGGCCGAGCGGAACCCGGTCCATCGGGTGGACAGGCCGCATGTATTGTATAGCTCAGACGGCTAGCATCTGTTGACACGCGCGCCTTGCTAACGGGCCCCTCTGACTGCAAATGAGAGACGCCCGCTGGAAATGTCGCATCTCAACGCGCCCCATAAAAGCGCGGCTTTTCAAGACGTGCGGCCGCCCGAACCCGCAACACCTGTTACGTTAAACGGCGGGGTCTTAAGCGAATGCTAGCAGCGTGACGGAGAATCCAAGACCAGCATCCCTTTCCCCTCCGAGAGCCGGACTGTGTCCGGGGAGGCAGTTGACGACTCGCGCATGTGTGCTGACCTCAGGTTAAGTCATTATAAAAAAAAAGAGATAAAAACAACCTTGATTGGGATATTTTTAACGATGATTTTTTTTTTATTTGACACTTTTAGATCATTAAAAGCGCCCCGTGTCAACGTGACCCTGGAACATTCTTGCCAATCTCAAGAAACAAATGCAACAGGAGGGTTAAGCGCTGGCCTCCTGCCATTTCTGTAAGGTTGTGCGCGTCATGCTTCAAGTGAGTGTGAGAATCTTCCAAAGAGTTGGACGATGTTAAGTGTGCGCGCGTGTGTGTGTGTGTGTGTGTGTGTGTGTGTGTGCAGTAAGCGGTATGCTTAATGAGCGCATTAAAAGCCCTTTGTTAAGGCTTCTGCCTGGAAGAACGGCTCTCTGCGGCTAATGCCAGCTTAAAGACGGGAACATTTCTTTTTGCGGCATTTTCCCCCCCAGCCTGGCATTTACTTGACAATGGGTCACTCTGCAGCCGTGTGCTGCCTTGGTATTCACATATGGGGGAGGGATCGCATGCCGAAGTCGGATGGATAAGGAAGCACAGCACGGGCACACAGGACTGATGTGATGACGAACACGGCCACCACGTGTGGAGCATGCACATGTCAACCTCACATCTCACACCTCCCGTCACTTGCTTTCACCTGCTTTTCAAAGGAGATGCTGGCCTGATGTTAACATGTCGAAAATGTCGATGCTGCCCCCCAAATAACATGTTTGGACACACAACCTTAAACGACTGCAGTCCTCCATGTTCATTTTTTAAAAAAAATTGGATTGCCGGCTTTTCATTTCCAGCAGCGGATGCGTGTTACTTTTCCACCATTCAAAGCATGCAGCAACATTTCACACTGTTTTCTGCAACGACGCCTTGCGGCAGAGCTCCTTCAGGTTTGCTGTGTTTAGAACTTGGAACTGCCTTTACAGCAGCTCCTGTATTTTGTTCGTCTACTTCTTCCTTTCATCACTTTGCTGCTGTGAATTGGGAATTTCTCCATTGTGAGACTAATAAAGGTTTTCTTATCTTATCTTGGAAGTTTACATTCCGCATGAATATTTCTCGAGCAGATGGAGCCAACCCCCACACCCGTGTCGCTTAATTTCACAGCTTTGACCATTTTCCACTTGCCCCTGAATGGATCCGCATGCAGGGCTCATCTGTGGTGGATAACGATGTGAAAATGGAGATCAATCGTTTTACTTTCAGATGGCGCTGTTGTTCCCCATTCAAAGCATGCAGCAACGTTTCACACCTTTTGCTGTCTCGTCACTAAACCGGAAAAGTGCCTGTCGCTCATTGATGCTGGACAATGTGTGCAAGTAATCTTTGAAATAATAACGATAATATGAGTGGACCACATGGTGCTACTCATCCCCCATTCAAAGCATGCAGCAACGTTGGACAACTTTGACTGCTTTCTGCCTCGCTACTGTACCGCTAAGCGCGTTGCTCACTGGCGTTGCCGTTTACGACGCCACGTGCTGCGTTCAAAACTAATTTCACGTGACTCGTTTTGACCTATTTATCAAAGACGGAGTCTGTTGCGTTTCGCGTCCGTTCAAAGCAAACAAACATGACTTGACGAGTCCATTTAGTGTCTGCTTTCCCTCCATTTTGTCACAATTTTGAACGTGAGAGGAAGCAGACCCACAGTGAAGACCACACAACACAAAATGGAGGACGCATGACTGATGGGGAGTGACAGTACCCACCTCTCCTGTTTGCTGCGTTCATTTCAAAAAAAAAAAAAAAAAAAAAAAAAGGGAAGGAGAGGGAGGGGATTAATAGGCAATTATTATCCTCTTGTTTTAATCCAGCTCTTTGAAAATGTCAAGCATGAGATGTTACGTTTCCGCGAACAACTCCATCGCAGGCTCTGGGTTTGGCAAACGTGCAGGTGGCAATCACAGCCGTTCTGGCGAGGACTCAATTATCTATCGCTTTGTGGGTTTTATTGACAGAAAAAAAAACAAACAAAAAAAAAAAAACTCCAAAAGGTTCTCTCAGCATCCAGCCCACACTCGCTCCTGTCAATCTGTCGGCATGGAGAAAAGGGCTACCGCGGAGGCGCAGCGGCGGGTTATCCGAGGCCTGATTTCAAGCCTCGGCGAGTCTCCTAGCGGACTGTGAGGAGGCGCAGGGGCTGACCGGAGAAAAGGTTGGCTTTTGAAGAACGTTGGTTGTTTATTTGAAATGTGATGACTCATCAGGATAGGATGATCATCAAACAGTCGAGAAATGAGTCAAGAAAATAGACACGATTTGTCATGAACAACAACAGCAAAAAAAAAAACAAAAACAAAAAAAAAACAAGCAACGCCCCATATTTATCGTTGCATAAACGAAGCCAATTATTTGTGTTAATTTCATTTGAACTACTGGCTTTTCATTTTTTTTTAAGGTCATTATTTGTCCACCACATACGCTTGTTTTTATTCCTAATTGAAAGCACGCGACAACCTTCCGAGTTGTCCACCTGACTGCCCTGATTCTGAACTGATTAAGCGCGTCACCTGAGTGATGATTTGTTTTCCTACTGAAGCCACTCGTCCGCAGGCCAAGAAGCAATTCCTGTTTGCACTCTTACGACCAATAAAAGAGGCGTGTGACTTGTTGAGAAAGATTTTGGATGAGTAGAATTTTCTGAACGTTTTTAAAATTTTTTTTTTTATCTCGACCAGGAAAAACTGAAAACAGGTTGGACGTGCCGGTAGAATATCAAGCAAAATTTGGATACGCATCACAATCATCGCGTCGGCTCTTTCAAGAAGCGGACATTCCGCATCACGACTTCCACGCGCAAAACATGAAGAGAGCCACTTACTTTTTGTAGAGCAGGATGGCTATGACGACACTGATGATGAGCACCACGGCAAACACGGGGCCCATCACCCACAGCATTTCCGTCTGCTCCGCACCCCGAGCCAGCGACTGCGAGGTGACCTGGATGAGGTCCGAATAGGGACTGGCGGAAAACGTCATCTGTTGGGAGGGGAACAAATTGTGAGAGTTCAGAATTTTCATAAAATTACCGTCGCATCGGCTAAGGGAAGTTGCGCGACGGCCATTCGGCGTCGAGTCATAATTATTCTGATCGTATGACAGAAGTGTGGAAAGAGGAGTTCAGAACATTCACGAAGGGTTTTTGTCACTGAAGAAGACCAACGTGACATCAGCTATGGGAAGTTAAACTACAGCCACGCTATGGGGCAAAATTTCCGCTATGTCCGACACTTGCCGGGGAAAACAGGAGTTCAGAACATTCCAAACATGAGTTGCTGACAACAGACGTGACATTTCGCACAGTAGAAAGACAGCTACAGTACATCCGCTAAATCATCGCGTCAGAAAAATAGGACGTGTGTGTGTGTGTGTGTGTGTGTGGAGCCAGAAGTTCAGAACTAATCTTTTCCATTTCCATTTTAAAACAATTAAAGTTAGCAGCAACTATTTACGGGGGGGATCATGAGGACAGAGATCTAATGCAAAATGTTTCTCGTTTCTTATGTTCATAGATTAAACTGTAAAGACTTGAATATGCTTTCAAATTCATCTGACATTACCCTTAAAAAATAATTGGCTCACAGATGATTTGATTTTGAAGTCGCGCACAGTGTGGCAAAGTCTCTCCGCAACTTTCCCGAACAAGCCGAGCTAAAACGAGTTCCTCGCCAACATAAAAAAGATGGCCGGCCGTCTTGCTCGTCGAGACCGATCGATTTAATATTTCCTTCAGGCCAATTACTGCTTTTGGCTGGTGTTTCGTCTCCCTTTTAAGCAATTTACCTCACGTAACATTTTCCTTTGGAGTGACGGTTCACACCTTCAAATGACGGCGGCAGAGGAAAAAGGCGAAAACCGTCTTTGAAGCCATTTAACCGTTTTTCAGAACCCCGCCGCCTTGGTTAAATGACACACACACGTAAGGCGTGGTTTACTCTTGGGAGTCATGAGAGCTTTTGACACCCGGAAGAACGTGCGGCGTCACGATGAAAAGGTCTGCAATGACTTGTGGTCACGAAAGGATGCTTGAGCATGGTAAAAAAAAAAAAAAACAAAATTTAAACGTGAATTCCCGAACTAAGCCCAAAAAGAAGTTTGTCTCAGTCGCATGTGTTTTTCCACCGCGTCACACCAGAACGATCCAAAGCAGCCTGATGAGACTTGAGAGCGGGGTGAGCAAGGGGAGCCAGAAAAATGCCCCCCCCCATCCTGTCCCAACCTCCGGGTTCTGCTCAGGATAAATGGGGGTCATCGCCTCTCCTTCATTAGTGTGCGCGGCATGATGATGGTTGAACGAGGGCAAGGGAGGAGGGGGTGGGGGGGCGCCGGCGACAGGGGGCGTATAAATGAGACATCTCGCCCTCCCCGGTCCTTCGTCTTCAAATGGCGGCGAGGAGGAGCAAGACGAGGCGAAGGCGGCGTAGGTGTGAGACGGAGGTACAGCGGGAGAGCGGCGCGACAGACGACAGCGCCGCAAAGCTCCTCATCATTAGAGCTCAGCGTGCTACTCATTGCGCGGCGATGTGGCGACGCCATTCGGGAAGGGAGGGGAGGGCCGCCGGTGACAGATCGCGGGCCCTGACGGGGGCGAATCGGGCTCCCAGCGTGCGGCGGCACCGGCGGGCCGCGGTAATCCGCATCATTAGCGGCACAGTGGCCCGCTCCGCGGCACAAAGGCGGATATTAATTGGAAAGATAAACCGAGATGGGCTCAAAGTGGGATATGCACTTCTGTTATCGCAACTTGAGCAGGGAAAACGGGCGCAGCGTGTGTGTGTGTGTGTGTGTGTGTGTGTGTGTGTGTGTGTGTGTGTGTGAGCTGCGCCGGGGAAAATGCGGACACGCATACACGCGGGCGAGTCAAGTGTGAAAGTGAAAAGGTGACAAAATTGCTGGAACGAGGTGCCTGAATTAATGAACCTGCGATCGCAATGACACATTTCTGCCAACTGAGGGTGCCTGTGAATCTTTTCAAGGTGGAACCGAGATGCTTGAGCAAGCTCTGACTTGTTGCCTTCTTGCAATTGGAAAATCTGCTGCCCACGCTACACCCAAAAAAAAACACAGTCATCAAAACTTAATTCCCTCGCAATTTAGGGTTGTCCGTTTGTCCCGTATAAGAGGGGTGAAGTTGACGAAAATCTGTTGGAAAGCCCAAAATAATTCTAAAATGGAACTTCGAACCAAAGCAGCAGAATTCCTGTACCTTCCCGGGCAGGGGATCTTGAGGCAGTTTTTTGTGGGTGTACCCGTTCATGATAGACAAGTACATCAAATTTCATGTTACTCAGTCAACCATGCTTTGCAGGTCGCATCAGAAGCGCAAAGTAGGGCACCGACTGCCTTGCTCAACGCCAGTAGTCGTATCTGTTTCCCTACGCTTACTCGCCCCCGAGTGTTTTTTTTTTTTTTTTTTGCTGCAATTGAGTAAAACTCCTCCGACCAAAATATGAGCAACGGCAACATCATACAAAGACATTTTCGTGGCTTTGAACTGAGAAGGCGAAGCTTGAAGGCATCCGAGTGGCAGCGTAATTACAACCAGCCGTTTGCAAGTCTAACCATAAAGCGGGAACGAGACCACCGCATTTAACGCTGCGAAATGTTGATTGGATTTATATGACCGAGCGGTACCGAAAAGTTGACCAGAGCCGCCGTGGCCTTCTTGTTTACAAGCTACACGCCGATGAGCTGAAATGCTCGATGATACAGAATGCAAAAAAACAAAACAAAACAAAACAAAAACAAAAACATCTCTTTATTGCGGCGAGATCCAAAGAAGCGGAACACGACGAAGTCCACAATGGTCATTTCAGTGCGGAGCTGCTGTGCGACGTGGCTCTCATCAGATTTGAGTGCCGTTCAATTGGATGATCTCAAGTCCTCTGCCGTGACACTTGCGCTTAGCAACGAGCATCCTTTGCCATTTCCCTTTCGAAAAGCGCAGCTGCAGTCATTTGTTACGCCACACGGGCAGTGAAAAACAAAAGTTTTTTTTTTTTTTTTTTTTTCCCAGGATCCCCCTAAAGGCCACATCACGCTGACCGTTACTGCCCCTACGGTAGGAACAGGAAGCCCTTTGTTGTCCGTCCCCGTTAGTGTGTGAGCGCTCTTTTGTTTTTGGAAGATAATCGGAACCTCCGGACACCACTCGGGATGGGAAAGACCCGCTCTTATGCAACTTGCGTGTTCACGACGAGACCGAGTCTCATCTGGTTGAAGATGCAGCTGAAGTAGACCTCGGCCATCTTATCTCCGAGTACGTGAAACGAGTTGTTTTCAGACGGGGCTAAGAACTTCATTGTCTTCTTAAGGACCTGGCTTAACTGGACCTTGACAAATCATCTTCAAGGGTGTGAAAGTTTCTTATTGGCGACCTGACTTCACGGGAACTTGACAACATATCTTTTCGGCATTGCGAAACTTTTTGTTGATGACGAGCCAAAGACTAATTTGTCTTCTTCAGGACCTCGCTTACCGTGACCTTGACAAAATCATTTTCAAGGATGTGAATCTTTTGGTTTGTTGCTTACTTCTTGGAACTTGACAACTCAGCTTGCCGGTGGCGGTAGAAAATAATATTGATGATAAAGTGATCTTATCAGTGGCAACGACAAAGTACATTTGGCAAAAGAATGTCACATCAAGAAAAATGCTGGCCGGACTGATGGGCCACGTCAAACTGCCCGCCAAACTTTTGTTCATTCAAATGAGAAACGGCGTCATTAGCATTTTAGATGACTTTGACGAGTAGCGGAGGCACCACGACTTCTTTTTTCCATTCAAATGAACTCGAGGAACTGCGAACGTCGCTTTTTCAGAGATGTATAGATGCACACATAATAGCACGCATGAAACATCGGTGGAGTTTGCAGCCGCCAGTGCCGACTCCCACACTCAGCTAGCAGCTGATGAAAGCTGGCAGCAAGCATGGAGACAACGGGAGGAAGAGATGTTCTGCTACTTGCACTATATCCAGTCTGTGATCTGGCCCTTGGGCTACACCCCCCCCCTCCCCCCGCATCACCCCTCCCCCCTTCACTCCCCGATCCCCGGAGCTCCCAATCCGCAGTGCGTAGGGAAAAATACCAACACATTTGTTTCGATTCGCTGTTGACCCTGCAAGCCTCTTGTCTTTCCCAAAGTGGCTTAAATATGCCGCGGGGGGGGGGGGGAACAAACACACACACACATGCAAAGACAGCCATTATGTGTTTCTTGCTGCCTCCCCTGGGGAAGCCCACGCTCGGCTCCTCATCCGAGCGTGTCACAGCCAAAAGGGAGGCGCGGGGAAGTCGTTGAAGAGACAAAAAGTGCAAGTTGGAGAATGATCATGTGCCCCTTTTGCACACTGTGCGTCAGAGGTGGAAAGCCTCGGCAGAGCCGGCATCTTTTGTCCCGCGCCTTGCATCCAGAACGCGACAAAGTGTCATTGCGGCTTGACGCATTCGGATAATGGGCCAGTGTGTCGGATTACCGCACTGCGCATAAAGCTCCACCGGGCCGGCAGAGATTTCATAAATAATACGATGAAATCAACAGATTCTTGTTTTTTTTTTTTTTTTTTTAACTTTTTTTTTTCACTGAATGCGATCATTTAACTCACAGAATGATGAAGGATAAAGACGCTAAGTATAAAATAATCTTTGAAACGTATCATATTCACAGTATTAACTGTACCGGCTTTTTTTTTTTTTTTTTTAAATTTATACACATATGTGTGTATATAAATAAATTCCAATAATCTTTCAGACATTTTTAGGGGCGGATGGTATCAGATGACTTTTTGTCTCTTCTGGGATCATAATTTGTGCTCACTATTGTTGAAGCCTTTCAGGGACGGCGCTGACTACAGTGGACAGCAGATCATGTGATCAGGTTAAAGGGTTAAACTATTAATAGAGGCCGTTCTAAAAAAAGAAAACATTTTTGGAGGGGGGGGCATGATTCGCTCATGGGTTCTCGCTATTGGCGTCGGG